TTTGAGTTTATGATGATGAATAGGTGGAGTTGTAGCACTCACTTTGTAAAGAAAAACCAAGAACTAATGAGTTAATCACTGAGCTTCATTATTGCTCTAATTTTGCTTTTTAAAGTATTCTATTGAATATATAAGAACATGCACAAATGAAAAGTGGATATCTTTTCGAAATGATTAATGCCATATATTGGAGTTTGGAGGACAACGTGGCTTCTAAAGTACTACCCCATTGTTGCCTTTTGAAAGGGATTTTACTCCTAATCTCCCCAGTATATCTCTTTCGGGATTAGTCTAATTAATTCACGAAAACGAAAGGCTGGCGGCTGTCCCTTATAAAAGACCTTGGCATAAAACATACATATAGTGTTACAGTTAATTGTCTCATGTCGTGTTTGCTAAACGAAGTTGTGCAATATTTATCAAGTTGTTGAATGTTTTTTTTCAATATACATTTCCTTGAAAGGGAATACTTCCAAATTCACTCTATTACAAACTAAGAAGAATTTGCAAAAACCAAAACAAAATTGCATAACAAACCTACGAGGCTACGAGATATATTTTAAATGGATAGCCTTCAACCAACTAATTCATAGATCAAATCAGTTAACACTTAAAAAAAAGCCAACGAGGCTCTGATGCGGAAACCATTTTTGTTGTAACTTGATCTTATATTACAATATAAACAATGGAACCTTCTGAATCTAAAGAAGAAGCTTACGGAAAATATCTCGTTCCACAGTTTCAGCAGTAACATGTGGCTATAACTTCACCCAAAAGCATTACCTTATTAAGCAACTTGCTTGGTTTCGTGGCTGTTGTTATTTGGAATTATAATACATATGCAAGTAGCCTTTTTCTGGAATTGTTTGTTGGCGTATCCAACTAGCAATTTCTTCTTCTTATAATTAACGATTTTTTGGGTGGGAGTTGGATCTGCATACGCAGTAATGACAATGCTACATTGTAAATTTTGGAATCGGAATTGTATATGGTTTTTCTAAGAAACATGTTGGCTTCAGTCAGACAGACAAAAGTCACTCCATAACGAAAGTTAAACTACTATTTGAGTCCATTTCTTGCGACTTTGAGAGTCGTCGGTTTGTTAACTTTGATTGGACTGGCAATATGATCGATAATCATTAAGAAATGCCCAATGGATGCCAAAAATATCTACGTTAAGATAGTGAGATATGTATAATTCTAATCGCAATGACAAAGACATTAGCCGATTAACTTGATTATATTTATATGTCATTTATTCGTTGATGGTTCGAACGATCACAAATAACTTTTTTTCAAAACTTATGTGAATAATAATATGTCAGTCATTATATCTATTTGGCAGTATTATTTCATTTACTCGTTATATGTATTTGCAAGTGATCGGATCCCATATAAATTATTAGGGTGTAAAAGTATTGAACCTGGCACCTGGGTTGAATTACATTCCCTATTCCCTTTTGATTATCACCTCAACGGTATTTTGAAATAATAATTTTGGGACAGAGAGAATACTAGTAAATTTTTATTAAATCAAAAGTAAAAGAGAGGATCTCATTTCGCCATATAAATGATGTATATGAAGATCGACGGAATTTATACCTAACGTGGCTAAAGTTGCAAATCATGCTAAGGATGCAATTGGATTGAAGTTTTAAAAAATACCTGTACGAAGATAATACCAATCCTATTGCTGAAATATAATTGGTTACAAAGTCCTGGTCATGGTAATACCAATCCGTAGTGAGCTAGTAAACTTGACCATAAAGTTAATTCGGAGATAACACTAAAATCTTGGTCGCAGTCATCCTACTATTATCGTCAAAGAAGATATAACGAAATCGTGCCTACCCGTAAAAGGAGCATAAAAATGCAAACTTGCAAAGTGCAAAAGTGGAGTGAAATTAACCCCTCTATTAACATAAAAGTGCCTTATTCTTACGTTGATTAATATTGTATTTTTAATTATTAGGCCTAACATTCCTAACCAACTCGTTTTTATGGCTGAATAATTAAATGGATCAACAGGAGAATAAAGCTCCGTCACTGACAAGTCTCCAAATACTTCAAGGGAATAAGACAATCCTAATTCTTATCCATACATATGTAATAGATCGAACATTCCCCAGCCAGCTATGGTGTGTACTGTGGCTGAAATGATTTTTCTTTTTCCTTTTTTTTTCCCCTTAGTGCAGTTAAAAAGGAGTTTTCATTAAAATAGGAAAATGTTATTATTGATCGAGAAATTAAAATTGTTTAATTATAAATTTATGTATACTCATGTGATCGGTGGCTAACAAGGATTCGATTTCTGTCATATATATTTTTCTTCTCAAGATAATTATCGTACAACAAACAGAGTTAGGCGCTTTGTTTAGAGCTCACGAGCAACCAACCAACAATAACATGCATAGAAGGCATTCTCAGCTCAATTCTCCTTTCTGCAACCCCCAAAAATTGTAAAGACAATGAGTTTCATTTTTTATTCAACATATTCGGATGCTTGCAAAATCAGAAACTGAGCAGAACCCAGTCAAACTACATCCATGGGGAGTCAGTGTTGAAATTTTGAGCAGAAAGTTTTAGGGGCGGGAGGGTGTTTTCTTCTTTTTTTGGTTAATAGAGTAATAAGTGGCAGAGCCTAACTTACAGATACTACTAGAAACTCTTTTACAAAACAAGAGTCCGCTATGTAAACTTGAAACTGAAACCCGATTTAGCGAGGGAATCGGCAAAAAAGATTATCCCCTCTATAAATATGCTCTATATTGAACTCCCTCTTGGAGATAAAGATCCCATGCATGAATTTCACTTTTTCCCTCTCCGAGTCTAATCCTACTTTTTAATATGGAGGAATAGCAGGAATAGCTTGTGCGTTTCAATGTGGACTTGAATTTTTTTTTATATTTACAGGGTATTTATCGTCGGCAACAATGACTAATCTTCCTCGCTGAAATGTAGACTTGAATGTTTGAATCGAACATAGAGGAAGAGGAGGATTCCCAAATTTTAGTTGATCCATGTGAAGGAAGTTAGCAAATAAAAGTAGCAGGCCTTGCAACTGGACTATTCCTCATGAACCGGGCTTCGCTTTAGGCATATTCTTTGAATTATGCCGGAGATAAAGTACAACTTGGAACATTATCTTTGAATTATGCCATGGATAAAGAAATTATTTGGTCTTCGTCGATTTATTTATTGATATATACATATCATCGAAAAGTCGTCCACATTTAAAACTAAGAAATATCAGTTTTCCTGGATTTATTTGTCGACCTGTTGATCTCGACGAGTCGACGACTTTTAAAACTAAGAAATATCTGGTCTTCCTGGATTCACTCATCGAGTTATAGATCTCTACCATTAAGTCGATGACATTTTAAACTAATATTTGGTCTTCGTCGACTTATTTGTTGACTTATATATCTCGACAATCAAGTTGATGACATTTTAAAGTAAGAAAAATTTGGTCTTGGTTGATTTATTCGTCGATCTATAGATCTTGATGATGAAGTCGATGACATTATAATCTAAGAAATATTTTGTCTTCATCGATTTATTCGTCGATCTATAAATTTTGACAATCGAGTCAACAAACTTTTTTACTAAGAAATATTTTGTTTTTGTTGACTTATTCATAAATCTCTCGATCTTGACGATTAAGTCGAGGACATTTGAAAGTAAGAAAATTTGGTCTTCGTCGATTTATTCATCGATCTACAAATCTCGACGATAAATTGAACGACAATTGAAAGTATTAAATAATTTGTCTTTGTCAATATATTCGTCGATTTATAGATCTCGACGATCAAGTCGAAGACATTTTAAACTAAGAAATGTTTGATCTTCATCGACTTATTCGTCTACCTAAGATCCCGACGATCAAGTCGGCGACATTTTAAACTAAGAAATATTTCATCTTCGTCGATTTATTCGTCGTCCTATAAATCTTGATGATCAAGTCAACGACATTTCTAACTTAGAAATATGGTCTTTGTCGATTTATTGGTCAACCTATGCATATCGACGATTAAGTCGTCGAAAGTTTCACTGAAAAATATTTTCATTTCGTTGACTTATTCATCGGCCTATATCTCGACGACCAAGACAATGAAGTTTTTCACTAAGAAATGCATTTGTACTTTGTCAACTTCTCCATTAGGGATATAGTACCATCAATGATCAATTCGACGAAATTAGGAGGTCCTCTTGATCTTAAGGTTATTCCATTCAGGAGCATCAGAGCAAGAAGTGAAATTTGCAGGGACACAAGTAGTTAAGGCAGAGAGCATGGACAACATACCCAACTTACGGCGTTTGTTGCTAGCCTACTTGGTCGGATGCACTAAAATCAAAACTGAAGAGAGTGTGTGAAATGGTTTTCAGTTCATATCAAATCATAATACGTTGGCATGCTGTTCTGTGCAGATGTACAACATAGTTTCCATTCCTTTTTGCAGTCCTATTTTCTTCCAAGTTTCTGGTGATGGATTTTAGCTCTTTAAATGAAATCAGGAATTACTATTATTATGACATGTATATTAATATCGTTAATCCAACCCGTTATTCTTCACCACCTCTGTAATTGGAAAAAATTTAGGATCCTCTCCTTTAAAGATGATATAGAAAAGAAAAAAAAAAACAAATGACCTTGTTAATTTAATATAAAAAAGCAGTATAAAGAAAAGGCAAAGTAATGCATAATTAAAAATCCATACATAAGGTTACTTAACAAGCCAAAAAAGAAAAAACCAGTAAGTACACAAGGAAAATTTTAACTTTAGTGGAAGTCAAACATTAAGAAACTTTTCAGTCGTGAATCCCCTAACCAGTTCATCATATACAAATCTGGCAGAGAAAGAAAAGGAGGAAAAGAAATATTCCGTGCATAAGTAAGTAAGTAATCACGTGATTCTCAAGTTCACGGTCTCTCTCTTTGTACCCAAAAAGAAGAAGATTTATTCCATCATTCGTGCAGATCTAGAAGCAAGAAACTATCGTCAAGGTTCCATTTTTGTTAATATAAACAAAGATTCCTCGTGCATGGAAGACACCAATATCGTACGCCTGGAATCATTTGGTTTCCAGTTTGATGTATGACTGGAAGGCACCTTCGAGACGATCCACGAATCATCAACAATCATCGCCTTAAGGTTTACGGCCTTGTGTAGCAAAATATCCATCAACATCAACAACCCGTCACGATCCTCGTGTTTGGAATTCTTCGAGTTGATTAATGATGAGAAACCCATGAGCTTGATAAATTTAAGGTGTACGAGATGTGAAGCCTCTGACTTCACCATTTTATAGTCCATCCACAGGTGTGGCTCGTGCCAATACTCGTGAAAATATGGAGCTGCTAAACTTTTCCTCTTTTCATCCATCTGTAATATTGCTCATCAAATAAAAAAATAAAAATGTATACACCTTAAAAATGTACAAGATACTAGTACTGGAAAGTTCGATTTTAATACTTACATTAATGAACAACGTCTGTAAGTTTGGTGCAATGTCTAAGAAACAAGCAAGCGAATCACGTTTTTGTGCATCCATGGCAGAATAGATGCACCATAATTTCTTTAGCATACTTAATTTGAAATCAAGAGTTCCAAATATTACACCTGCACAGCACATCCACTTTTTTGGCGGAAGAAGAGAAATTCATCAATTTACTAGATCATCATCATCATCATTAAATTAATGAGTTCATCGAGTGGTACGTGTTGACTATAACTGCAATGAGAATGATATGATAGAGACGGTGATTTCATCGACAACAATATTACGTATATAAAATAATAAAGTATAGATAGGTATGCAGAAAATAGTGATTGATTAATTGTAACTGTCTATTTTAGTATTTACCTCTATGATCCAACCGCTTATGGTGAGGAATTCAGTTTCTCTGAGACTGGAAAGAAAATCAATGAGCTCCTCGCAGTCAAATTTCTGGCTTTGGCCAACAGAAGAAGAACATGATCCCACGTCAAATTTGACATCAACCAAATGTGGAGTGCCTCGTAATTGAATCGTTGTCGGCAGAACTCCATTGTAGTACAAAGTTCTGAGATTAGGTGCGGAGATAATCATGCTATCAACGTTTGAACAATCGGAAAACTCGAGAACTCGAAGACGACTACGCATCACGATCTTGATACATCGTAATTCCTCGCACTTTTCGAGCTTCAAGCTTTCAAGGGAACAACAGTAAAGTAACAAAGACGAGATGAAATTCTGTGCCAGACCTGCAATATTGATGGACCGAAGGTGAAGCGTCTTGAGGGAATGAAAACTAGCCGGAAAATTTTGGTTGCCGCTGGGAAGACAACATTCAAACAGTATAAAATTTGACTTGTCCTTGTTTTTTTCGCCGAAGTCAACGTGAAGCTCATTACCATATCCTTTGGTAGCCACCAATACGATTTTACGGCCAACAGAAATTTTCAACTTCCGCGGCGTATCATGATTATCTATAAACTCAGAAATGACTTGCTTCATTTTGTCGCCGAGTGGATGAATGGAGTCCGCCGGATTTTGATCGTCGGTATCTAAATTCACGGCCATCGGTTTCCAGAGGCGGCTCCAAGAAGTGGAAAGCAGGCAAGTACTTTGAACTGCTTCTTTTAAGGACATGAAGGAAAGTATGAGTTGCACAATCTCATCCGGGAAATCGACCGTCGAGAAATCGGGCTCCTTCTCTATAGCATTGCCTGAATACTCTAAACCGGCCATCACACAATTCCCGGAAATATTGTTATAGTTCTGCACCTCAATATATGAGATTTCCTATCTTCTGTAATGATTAATAAACACGGTGTACCTCTCCTTTTCATTACTCTCTTCGTCCCATAATTATTGTCCAATTTGGTTTTCATTTCTAGTTCAAATTATACTAAAAGTGGAATCTCAAAGTGGACAATAATTTTATGACAGAGGAAGTAATTGGTAGTATTTGTCCACTTTCAAATGGTGGGGTAACATTGTAACATCAAACATAAAGTAAGGTCATGATGTTCCTCACCTTCTTCCAGTCATCGCCACCGTTTCTGGTTCGCAATTAAATCCATAACTGTTTAATTGTATAGAGTAGGTATGTAATCGGGAGTGAGTTATAAATGGGTGAATTATAATCATGCTACTTCACCTTGCAGTTTTGCAATTTAATTCTACTCTTGGCCTTTGGAATCGATTCATTTTATACACGCTGTAAAAGTATAGAACTCCAAGATAAATCAGGATGTGGATACGAAGCCTCATCCATCTCTTTTTAGTTTTATAATTGCCTTATTTACCAATGTGAATGAGACTGGAGACAAAACATTGTAATTTCTAACAGATCATTATCTACATTTAGTCAATCCCCTTGTACCAAAGGCGGGGGAGGGAGAATGTCAATCCCTTAAATTTAAAAAAGCATTCCATTTTATAGTATGAGATTTAAACTTTTGTTAAAAAAAAAAAAAAAAGGCCATAAGAAACAAAATGTACATTACCAAGCAAAATTCCTTACACCTACGTGTGAAAACTGATAATAAGAGATCCGTTCTCCTACTTTTTCTTTTACTTTTTTGTAACTTCGTTTGTTTGCGTTGACATATAGGCTATAAGTATTATTTCAATATATTATTTCCCAAGCACAGAACAACCTAAGATATTATTTCTGCGGGAGTTCTAATCCGATAATGACCACAGAACAATTTTAAATTCTTTAGTTTACTGTTAGATTTATCGAGGTGTGAAAAAAAAAAAATTTAAAAAAATTAATTATTATGGTCAACAACGAACGTGATATGCCAAAACAATACTTGTCTTGTTTATAATACTAACAATAAATAAAAATTGAAAAAAAAAGTTTAGAAAGAATCGATCTATTCGTCATTAGTATCACTGGTCCAGTGGCCATGATCGTATGTCACTTCCATTTGCAACTCGGGAGCATAAGTAAACGAAACTGGCCCATCGATTCATCACTATGAATTGGGACATCGTTGAATTTTGAAATTAATACAAATTTCAAAATTTTGAGTAAAAATTTTAAAATTTAGTATGAACTATTTTTTTAGGATAAACATTAAAACTAGTATATTAATAAAATTTGAAAAATACTCATTTCCTTTTGGATTGATTGATGTAATTGAGTGTTACAAATAATATTTTTTTTACCATTCAAAAGAAATGTCGAATTTAGATTTTTTATTTTTAATAAAATTAAGGTTTACAAATACGATCAATTAGAGAAAGTGAGAGTTCCACAGATTCATTGGTCAACGTCTACTTTAGAAACAGAGTACATATTATGGCCTCTAAATATATAGACGGAAAAGTATATATTCCTACTTTTATGTAAGGAAAAATATGAGAATTAATGGTAATAATGGATTGAGGGTGTCATTAGTAAAAATAAAAGTATGACTACTTGTGATGTTAAATTGCATGCTGTCCAAATTTAACACTTCCCGAATTTCTTACACATCTGGGCTTGCTCATAATTAATTTTTGTTACGAGTTACCACTAAATTATTTCCCCCCCGAAAAAAAAAAAAAACAAAAGCTAGAAAGTATATACGCGAGTCAAAGCAATCCGATTAAGTATCCGGAAGTTGGGTTAACACGTAAACCGAGTAGCCATTAGGGGAAGCGATGAACTTGTGTTTTTTATTTGGGTTTACAGCGTAAAGCAGTTGACTCCGAGAAATCAACCTCACCTTCCACGAAGTTTTATCTGGAAATGTCATTACCATCTCTTTCACGTTTACTGCCATATGTAGCAGAAGATCCATTAGCAGTAATTCATCTTCCTTGCCCGTCAATCCCACGAGTTGGATCGTCTTCAAATGCACCAATTGTGAAACAATCGATTCCACTTCCACATTTTCCTCCCACACATGAGGCTTGTGCTTATATCCCTGAAGGTTCGTGATTTGTTTCAAGTTCCGATGCACCTGCACTCTCACAAAACAAGTCCAATTAATTGTAGAATTTAACCATCTACAATGTGACAGAGGGAATACTACTATTTACTGACCTTGAGAAGAAGCCGCTCCAGCTGAATGGTTGCGTTGTTTAAGAAAAAAGCTAAGGATTCGCACTTCAATGCGTCTATTCCAGAATCGATACATGTTAATTCCTTCAGGTTTTCAAACTTGAACCCAAACGGCCCGTAAATGACACCAGGCATTGACAAGCACTAGATGAAAAATGAACCCCGGCCCAAATACAATGAAAATTGTAAGTAACAAAATTTCAAATTTGGATCCAGAAATTGAAGCGAATGGAAAAGGAAATCAAGAACGGGGTCAAGAGAAGACTAACATCAAGAAGCCACCCGCTTATTGTGAGTTTCTCTACATCCCTGAACGGAAAAAGCATCCGGATAACATCCTGGCAAGTGAAGTAGTACTTACTGCGGAACCCGTGCCTGAAATTCAACGTGGCATCAACTAATTCTGGTGCATCGATCGGAACGGTCGAAAAAATTCCTTGAAGATGAAAGGTTTGCATCCCGGGAGTTATTAATTGAGTGATGTAAACGTTTAAGCAATCGATTATCCTCAGCTCCCGAAGACAGCTGTTTGCTTTAATCTCGAGATTCAACAACTCGCTGCACTTCTCAATCGTCAAACTCTCCAAAGACACAAAGCTCGAGAACAATTCCGGCAACAAATAATGTCCAACTCGGGTGACTGATCTGAGATGAAGACGCTTCAGGGTAGAAAACCCATCAACATTTAGCGTACCCGCTTCGAGAATCAGATTGAATTTGGTTCTCACCGATTTCAATTGTTCTTGATATTCTCCACCAAAGAATTCAAAGTGGAGCTCGTCTTTTCCTTTGATAACAACAGCCATTGATTGATCCACAATTTTGGAAGTATAATTACTGGAGTAATCTTCACGGACAGAGTTGATACAGAGTCTCAATCTCTCGGGATGATTGGAGCGCATTAAAAATGTCCCAATACTCTGTTTTATCTTCTCCCTGGTTTCAAGATCTGCTGTTTGAGAAGAGACCTCCATTTCCAGCTTCAATGTACTACTTCCTTTCCATAAGCTTTTCCATGTAGTAGACAGAACAGCCGTTCTTATTGCTTCTTTTAAAGGGATCTTTGAAGCAATGAACAGCAGGATATCCGGGGGTAAGCTGCTGATCAAATCAGCTCCTTGCTTTGTTTCCATTATTGGTTATCTTCTCTCACTTTGAGCTCATAAGAAAAGGAGAAAAACGATTGTTGCAGATTGTAAGCATCCGAATTGATTGGTTTGTTATACTCGAAATTAACGTCAAGTAGCATGATTGTTAACATGGCCAACAAGCGAATCTGTGGTTATTTTAATCATGAAATCCATTGGACCTTCCAGCCGAGTGGCCGATATCAAAAGAATAATGCAAATGGCCGTATTTTATCTTATTAATAACTTAACAATGTTGTTTACAAGGGTATTTCCATATAATTTATTTACTTACTCCCTGACTGCTGCTTTTGTTGATTAGGAAGTCCGATTAGAAGGAAGAAGGAAATGGTCATTCTTTGATTCCAAAAAGAAGCCTTTAGTACTGTATTTACTTTTGGGGTGCATTAAAAGAAGACTCTATACAAGACCCAACGCCTTTGATGTCTCTTAGATGATGTCTACTAACAAAACTTTATTTCTTACTTTTTCGTGTTTTTTTTTAATTTAATTGTCTGGCTTTTGAATTAACATGAGACAATGTGATTTTCAATTTATTGATTATAATTTCTAACGTTTTTCAAGTACTTGCTATACCCTTTAATTTTCATCGGTCAATAATATATGTTGCTATTTAACTTTTCATCTCTATTAATATAGACTTCGGTGCAGAAAAAAAAAATAAAAATGTAGGACATTTCAAAAGCAAAAATCGTATTGTACAATTTCTGATTCGTTGCTCCTGATTTTTTTTTTTAACTATTTTTTTTTTTCAGTTGACCAGTACATTAATTTATTTAAGATTGATTTATTTTTAAACAGAAGAACCACCAAAGATTGGATCGAAATTAGGGTTTTGTTTTCTGGCTCGAATTTAATTAGTTTATAAGCCGAGGTATACTATCATTCGGAACAATTACGGCAAGGATTCATATACCTAGGCTGTTGTAATTCGTGCGGATGCTGCATTTCTTTCAGTGTCACGAAATTGAACTCCAGGAAGGGAGAAAAGCTTCCGCTGCTGAAGCGTCCAAGTGGCTGGCTGATTTTCTGTCTCTTCATCCTGACAGTGACCTAGGCTTGTCACTAGGAGTACTGATTGCGGGGTGGGATAACGAATCGGTAAATCTTAGAATGTTCTCTTCTTTCTTTTTTCTTTTTTTTTCCCTATGCCCCTTATTGAATTGATCTTGGTTTGCATCTCTGTAGGGGCCTTCCTTATATAAAGTGGATGGTAAGGGGAATGTGCTGAAAAATCCTTAGTTGGAACTGGATCTGGGTCAGGGGGTACAGTGGTAATCATTGTCAGGTATTCTTCTTTTCCCTCTGTGATCGCTTCAAGTTGCAACGTGAACATTGTTGTTGGTTGCCTGCCTTGCTTAATATTTTTAGCCTAGGAATTGACACTTGGCCTTCTTGATGCATCGCACACTTTGCCTGAATTCCTTTGATTTCTCTTGAGTTGTTTTTTCCAGATCAGGTATTTATTTTACTTGACTAAGCTGTATCTCAAATACGTGTTTCTGGTTTTTCTAAAGGGCTGGTCTACACAGAATTTCCCTGGGTGCAGCTACGGAGTTTGCCAAAAGTGCACTTTGTAGCGGTGTGTATTTTTGCCCTGAACAGAGTGAATGTGTCAGTGGTAAGTTTGTGCACTCTGGTTTACTATTTGCTTAATACCCTCTCCGTCCAATTTTATTTTTTCACTTTTTTTTAGTATCGTAGTTCAACCCAGTGGACTATTAGAATGGGACGAATGATGATTTTTCTTTCTGATCGTGTATGTTGTTCTTCCCCTACTTAAGTTTTTCATGTTGGAAGTGCCGGGGTTGAAGCGGTGCTCTCTAATGATGACATAGAAGCATTTCAAAAGGAGGGCTTCAGGAAAACTGGAAGAGAGTGGAAGAGCCCGAGCTCCGGAAAATTTTACGTCAACCATTCGATTTGTTAGGAGAATGAGTAGAGCCCCTCTGATGATAAAACTGAAGACTGGTGCGATGACTTGTTTCTTATGTGTCTGTTTAATCTTATGCCTCCTTTTGTGGACAAGAGGGATTTGTATATTCACTTGACTATTTAAGTCTCCGCGGGACGTGGGTGGGGATATACTGCTTTTGGTTAATTGTATCTATCTAAAACCTATATGTATATGTAATTCCAAAATTCCCATTTATTCTCGTTTCAAATAGTTTTAAGATTTTGTCCAATTTATATATATATATATATATATATATATATATATTTCTTTGGTTACAAATTGGTGAATGGGTTCGAAACATCATTTTACATGCGGGGGTTATGTTCTTAAATGTACATTCCGAAAGCAAAAAAGTATTGTTCAATTTCTGATTCGTTATGTGTAAAACTAATAGTAAGAGATCCGTTGCTCCTGAATTTTTTTTTTTTGGGGAGTTGACCAGTACATTAGTATTTAAAGATTTTTATTATTTTTCAACAGAATAACCACCAAAGATCTTACTCCCTCTATCCTATAATTATTGTCCAGTTTGAGTTTTCATTTATAGTTTAAATTATACTAAATGTGAAATTTTAAACTGAACAATAATTTTGGAACAGAAAGAATATATAAATTGGCTTCTTATCATCATTATTGCTCACCAACCGGCCGTGATCCGTGGTCCAGACGTTCACAATCCCATCGACCCCCTCCCGTTCGCAACTTGTGAGCATAAGTAAACGGAAAATGGCCCTCATGCAAATTGATCAATCATTATTAACGGGAAGGGAAGACGAAGAAGCTTCCAAATTAATCACTTCCTTATAATTCGGGAGATTGATGTAGCATCTACGCTTACAGACATAAATTAATGGTACGGTTGAATAGCACCAGCTACCTAATCATATCCATTATGATGTGTATGTTGCGACGGTAGACACCGTTCTCAATATTACGGATTTTACAAATTAATCTATCAAACTCAATATTACCTTTATTATAAGTCTGTGACCAATATAGTAGGCAATGTATTGAGTGCATTCCGGGGCATCATACTCCCCCTCTTATTTTTTACACTACTAGTTATTATTGTATTTTTTTTACTTTTTCTAATAATCTTCCTATTATTTGCAAGTTTAGTCCCTGACACTTTTTTTCTCTCTTTTAAAAAAATATCTCTAATATTCAAACGATCATATCTCTCAATCCGTGAAAAATTAGAAAATGTGTTACACATGAATTTTATTGTATTCGTCGAGATCTATCTAACAAGATCCATGTCGAATATTTTTTTCGAGTTTAAAAATGACTGAATTTCGATAGGCAGAATAAGATGGATATCTAGTTTAGAAAGATGGATAACCCAATTTATTTTAAATTGGTTACCCATTGTGTTTATGCTGATTATCCAACCAGTTTGAACTGGTTATCCAACTTGTTTGTACTGGATATCCACCTATTTGGTTTGTATGCCTATGAAACTTGTTTGTAATGGATATCCCACTTGTTTGTACTGGATATCTAACTCGCTTGTACTGGATATCCATCTATTTGGTTTATATGTTTATCCAACTTGTTTTGTAGTTGTAATCCAACGGGTTTGTGTGCATATCCAACTTGTTTGGGCTAGAATTCCAACTCGTTTGTACTGGATATCCAACTTGTTTGTACTGGATATCCATCCATTTTGTTTGTATGCCTATCCAACTTGTTTGTACTGGATATCCATCCATTTGGTTTGTATGCATATCTAACTTGTTTGTATGCACTGGATATTTATCCAACTTGTTTGTAGTGGATATCCATCCATTTGTTTTGTATGTCTATCCAACTTGTTTGTAATGGATATCCCACTTGTTTGTATTGGACATCCATTTAGTTTGTACTGGATATCCAACTCTTTTGTACTGGATATCCATCCATTTGGTTTTTCTTTTTATTATTATTTTTTTGAAAAAAAGAAATGCTTGTCCAACGCGTTCGTATTGATTATCCAACTGTTCTGTATAGATTATCCGACCATTTTTTTCTCTACTCTTTGCGAAAATCCTTGTCCAGTTTTTTTGTACTGATTATCCAACCATTTTGTATGCCTTATCCAATCATTTTCACTGATTATCTAAACATAATTTCTCTTCTTTTTTTTTTTCTTCTTTTGAGAAAAAATCTGTCCAATGTGTTCATGCTGATTATCCATCCGACTTGTCGGTGATGGATGGTTATTCGACTTTTTTTTCCTTGCTCTTTTAATGAAAATGATTGTCCGATTTTTTTGTACTGGTTATCCAACAAGCTTGTACTACTTATCCAATTATTTTCAATGATTATCCAAATTGTTTGTAATGCTTATCCAAATATTTTATTTTTTATTCTTTTCTTCTTTGTTTTGAACATGAGTGAATGTAAAAAATATGATTGGATAACAAGTACAAACAAAATGGATAATCAGTCCAAAGCGGTTGGATAGATCTCGTCGAGCACTATAAAATTCATATATAATTCGTAATTTAATTCTTTACGGATCAAGAAATATATGTAATACAAGAATATCAATCTAATCTAAGTTGGTTATCCATCTTCTTTTTTCTTTTTTAAAAAGTGAATGTAAAAAATATGATTAGATAATTAGTCCAAACCGGTTGGATAATCAGTATGAACACAACGGATAATCATTTTTCAGTTTATTCATTTCTACCCGTAAGATTTAAATGCATTTAAAGTTCAAAAGAAGTATTCAACATTGATCTTATCGGATAGATCTCGTCGAGCACTATAAATTTCATATATAATTCGTGTTATAATTCTTTACGGATCAAAAGATATAAGGAACACAACAATATGAATGTAAAATAAGTTGGTTATCCATTTTCTTAAACTGGATATCCAATGTGTTCATATTGATTATCTAACTTCTTTGTAGTGGTTATCCAGTATTTTTTTTCCTTACTCTTATATGAAAATGATTGTCAAAATTTTTTGTACTGATTATCCAACATGTTGCACTGATTATTCAATTATTTTCTATTGATTATCTAAATTATTTGCAATGCTTATCCAAACATTTTTTCTTTCTTTCATTTTTTTTTTTGAAGAGTAAATGTCAAAAATATGATTGGATAACAAGTACAAACAGAATGGATAATCAGTCTAAACCGGTTGGATAATCAGTAGGAACACAATGGATAACTATTTTTCAAAGAAAAACAAAAAACACATTTCTTCATTTCTGCCCGTAAAATTTAAATTTATTTAAAATTCAGAAAAAATATTCAACAAGGATCTTATCGGATAGATTTCGTCGAGCACTATAAATTTCATGCATAATTCGTATTCTAATACTTTACGGATCAAGAGATATATGCAATACAAAAATCTTAATCTAAACTAAACTGGTTATCCATCTTTCTAAACTAGATATCCATCTTATTCTGCCAATCGAAATTTAGTTATTTTTAAACTCGAAAAAAATATTCGACATGGATCTTGTTGGATAGATACAATAACATTCATGTATAATACGTTCTCTAATTTTTTACAGATCATGAGATATGGTCGTTTAAAGATTAAAGATGTTTTTTAAAGGAGAGAGAAAAAAAATCAAAGGGACTAACCTGTAAATTGTAGGATGTTATTTAGAAAAGTGGAAAAAAGTATAATAAGGACTAGTAGTATAAAAATAAGAGGGAGAGTATGGTACCCCGAATATACTGGATAGAGACTCATATAATATACATGAGCTACTTTTGTTTTGTCACATGATATTAAACATACGTATCTATCTAATACATGTGAGCGTTTAATTATTATAATCCAATATTTCAAGTCTGCGGGGTTTCGGTTAACACGTAAACCGAGTAGCCATTAGGGGATGAGATCAACTTGTGTTTCTGATTTGGCTTAACAGCGTAATGCAGTTGACTCCGAGGGATCACCCTAACCTTCCATGTAGATTTATCCGGAAATGTCATTATCATCTCTTTCACGTTCACCGCCACGTGTAGCAGAAGATCTATTAGCAGTAATTCGTCTTCTTTGCCGCCGGTCAATCCCACAAGTTGGATCGTTTTCAAATGCACCAAAGGAGATGCGTTGGATTTCACTTCTGCGTAGTCCTTCCACAAATGTGGCTCGTGCCAAAATCCGTGTAGGTTCGGACTCGTGATTTGATCCAAGTTCCCATCCACCTGTTTCACACACACACACACAGATTCATTATGTTATTACGTGACACAAATTATCCAGATGTGTTACCATTATTTTATCTAATTCTCCCCTTGAGGACAGGAAAAAAGAATACAGTATTCTAAAATCTAGAATTAGAAGCTTAAAGGCCGTCAGGAAAAAGATAAAAACCGCCATTGATCAAGAGTTAACTTTCAATTTCACCCTTATATTCTAAATTCCAAATTCAAATTTTAAAATTCCAAACTTTAACCATACACTCTAATCTTCAACCTCAAATAGTAATCTTCAACCTTCTTAAATTTCAAATCGATGGCCGAAGAAAATCGCCTTCGCGGAAAATCAAATTAAAGAGTTTACTATATCTTTTGATAAATAAAAATCTCAACGTTGCACTTTAATAATTGATATTGTTGTATTATATTAATTTAACAAAGAAAATCATTTTCATTAAAATATATTGGAAAAAATATTTTTTATATAAAATAGTAGTTAAGTTAGTTAATATATGATTAAAAGTTAAGTTAATTAATAATTATAGTGTCTAAATCACTTATTTTAGAATGAAAAAATGAAAAAGTCAGAATTGTTTTTTTTTACGACGGCCTTTATCTTTTTATGGTTGCATTTAACACGATTCAATCTAGAATGGTAAAATACTAATACTGGATCTTTATTATTATATATATATCCACTAACCTTAACAAACAGCCGCTCCAAAATGGTGGTGTTGTTCAAGAAACAAGCTATTGAATCACGCTTCATTGCGTCCATCCCAGAATCCATACAAATCAGCTCTTTTAACTTTTCAAACTTGAATGCAAGCTGCCCGAAAATGACACCAGCCATGCACAAGCACTGGATGAAAATAACCAAACAAAGAAAGAAAAAAGATGAATATCTTAAACATTAACAAAATACCCTGAAATTGAAATCGATGAAAACAAAAAATGATCAAGAATGGGGGAATAAGAGAGACTAACTTCAATAAGCCACCCGCTAATTGTGAGCTTCTCCACATCCCTGAGCGAAAAAAGGAGGCACAAAACATCCTCGCAATCGAAGTTGTTGTGTCCGATGCCGTGCCTAAAATTCAAAGTGGCATCAACCAATTGCGGCGCATCAATCTGAACAACTGAAAGAATCCCTCGATTGAAAAAGGTTTGCAGGCCCGGAGCTACTAATTTGATGCTGTTAATGTGGAAGCAATCGATTATTCTGAGCTCCCGAAGACAGCTGTTTGCTTTAATCTCAAGATTCAGCAACCCGCTGCACTTCTCAATCATCAAACGTTCCAAAGAAACACAACCGGAGAACAATTCCGGCAACAAATAATGTCCAACTCGGGTGACTGATCTGAGATGTAGACTCTTCAGGGTAGAAAACCCATCAATTTTTAGCGTACCCGTTTCGAGAATCAGGTTGAATTTGGTTCTAACTGATTTCAATTGCTCTTGATCTCGTACAGCTAAGAAGTCAAAATGGAGCTCACCTTTTCCTTTAGTAAAAACCGCCATTGATTCGTCCACAATCTTCGAAGTGGAGTTGCTGGAGTAATCTTCGCGGACAGAATTGATACAGAGTCTCAACCTCTCGGGATGATCGGAACACATTAAAAATGTCCCAATACTCTGTTTTATCTTCTCCTTGGCTTCAAGATCTGCAGTTCGAGAAAAGACCCCCATTTCCAGCCTCAATATATTTCCTCTCCATAAATTCTTCCATGCGGTCGACAGAACTGCCGTTCTAATTGCTTCTTTTAATGGAATCTTTGAAGCAATGAGGAACAGAACATCCGGCGGTAAGCTGCTGATCAGATCAGCTCCTTGCTCTGTTTCCATAATTGATTCTTCCGCTTACTTTTAGCTCAAAACAAATGGGAAAAGGTTTTGTGTTGAGAAAAGGCTGAGTGTGTATTGGTGTATTTATTCTAAGGTTGCATGAATTGTCAATATTGAAAAATATTGCAAATTGGCATTAATTTTTGATGAAATTCTGTGGTTTTTGGTCAGCTGCTCTGCAGAAATTATAAATACTCGTCTTTGTCTACGTTCGATGGGGACATTCCAGCGAGTGGACGATACACCGAACCAAAAAAAGAATAATGCAAATTGCCGTATTTCACCGAATTTAACAATTTTGAATACGAAGAGTATATCCGTATAGTTTGTATTGTACAGGTAGACCGTACACTTTCAAGAGTCACATATATATGTCTTGCCAAGAATTGGGACTTGACTGGTGAACAAAGTGAATGCATATTTACGTTAGTAATGAAAGAGACCTAGAATAGAGCACATTTTGATAGTCTCTTTTATTGTACAGTATTACTTTTGTCTTAAGAAAATATTATAATACAAAACTGAAAATTTGATATGGATTATTTCTTGGAATGGAGAAATTATTCTTTAAACTCACTTTAGTGAAATTATTGAACTAAGACGGATGGAATAATCATTGTTTTCTACCTACAAAATGTACACATTCAATTTTTTAGATTATGTCTCATTTATTATATTAATTTAATTTTTCCTTTTGAAACAAATGGAATATTTACTCATGTATATAACTTCTGAAACGAATACAAACAACATTGCTTGCGAAAATATAATGCTCTAATTCACCTTTTGTCCAAGGATTGAAAGTTGTTATGCAAAGAAAAGAGCTGACTGCTTGGTTGTCAGGATGTATGATTAGAATAATAAAGAACTAAAAAAGGAGAAGTCAAATTTAAGAATCAAATCTAGTCTAGTAGTTAATTGTACTCTTATTCACATTTTTGTACATTTAATTACATTATCAACTAAAAAAACAATAACTTCATTTTCTTCCAAGTAGGTGGGTTGGACAGAGTCGGAGATTTTTGAAATTTTCAGCGTATTAAAAGTGCCAATGGTTTTTTTTTTTTTGCGTATTAGAAGTGCCAATGGTTTTTTTTTTCTTCCAGGTTGGTGGATTGGATAGAGACAGAGATTTTTGAAATTTTCAGCGTATTAAAAGTGTCAATAGTTTTTTTTATTTTTTTATTTGCGTATTGAAAGTACCAATGGTTTTTTTATATATATACACGATTACAAGTATTAAGGCGGAAGGGGATAGTAGTAGAGACTCCACACGCGCATATTTTGATCTGGTACTCGGAAAGCATCATGACAAGTGCAAATAAACCTGCACAAATTTAACATTAGTATTGTTAGCAAGGTTTGAATATGAATCTCTCATGTTAGATGCCAAAGCCCAAACCACTGGGCCACCCCTTTGTTGTCAAGTGCCAATGGTTACTTTTAAATTGAGAAGACAATAAATGGAACAAGTTAAACCTTGGGACCTAACCAAATAATCTTCCAATCAAAACGATAAAACCATAAATCGCAAGACTCTTTAAGGGTTAGTGATGACTTTTTTTCTTTATTTTTTTCTGTCTGCGGATGAATGACTCTCTCTCTCTATCTATCTATTATAGCTCCTGTAATAAAGAAAGCAGCTTAGGTAGCCGGTGGCCCCTTTGAACCACATTCCACAATACATTATTGTGAAAGGTAGAGCTTAGTCATTTAGTGGCAATTTGAAGGCTAACAACTACTGTTGGACGGAGGGTTGAATTTTGCTAAGTTAATATTTAAATAGAAAATTGGAAGAACGAAAAAAGAAAAAGAAAGAAGAAAAGACGGAGCGCAAAGCTAGTGGCAACCACTATATTTAATTTAATCTTTTTTTCACAGGATCGTTAAAGAAGACATGATTTTTTTTTTTTGTCTTTTTGAAATTTTTAATTAAGTAAACTAAACAAATACTACATTATAATTTATTGTAAAAAAAGAGTTTGAACTAGGAAAACAAAAGAGTTTTTGTTATAATTTATTTAATTATATTAAAAAAGATATAGTTTACGAATTGTTATGTGAAATATTTTTTCTAAGACTGAGGAAACGTGTTTTTCTATTTCGTCACCTTCCAAAACAATATACATTCATACTACAAAACTATCCAAACATATTAGGTATATATTGAATCAATCATTATAGGCAAAGCAATGATCTCACAACAATTGATACTAATAATTATATAAGTCAATAATAGTGTAAAAGTTTTATTGCAAATATTATTTTCTGTTTCGAAATTATTATTCTATCTAAGAGCATCTACAACAATGACATAATTGTTATATAATGTTAGGATAGAATTTTATCCCATTGTTGGAGGGAGTTTAATTTTGTCAGGGATATAAAATATTTGACACGGTGAATCTGACAAAAAGCCGGTGCAATGGGTGGGGCCATCACATGCCCAGCCCCCAATTCCATTTTTTTTTCCTTTTTTTCATTGTTATTTATTCCTTTTTTTTTTGTAGTGACCGCTACTTGCCTTCTTTTTTTTCTTTTTCTTTTATCATTTTGACAATGGATCAATAATTTTTATCTCATACTATACAGTAATAATTAGTCTTTTTTTATTTTCTTATATGATGTTTAGTCAATGAAAATTAATGTTTTATTATTCATAAATGTATTCGTATATTATTTTAATAATGATTTTTACATATATTTTTTAAATAATAAAATTTTATATAAATATAATTATTTTAAAAAATAATAAAGTATTAATAGTGAAATAGTTGTAGGATAATAATAGTTGAGTAGTTGTGGGTCCCAAATTATATGAATAAGGAGTGTAAAATTGTTGGAGAAAAAACGGAGCGCAAAGCTAGTGGCAACCACTATATTTAATTTAATCTTTTTTTCACAGGATCGTTAAAGAAGACATGATTTTTTTTTTTTGTCTTTTTGAAATTTTTAATTAAGTAAAGTAAACAAATACTACATTATAATTTATTGTAAAAAAAGAGTTTGAACTAGGAAAACAAAAGAGTTTTTGTTATAATTTATTTAATTATATTAAAAAAGATATAGTTTACGAATTGTTATGTGAAATATTTTTTCTAAGACTGAGGAAACGTGTTTTTCTATTTCGTCACCTTCCAAAACAATATACATTCACACTATAAAACTATCCAAACATATTAGGTATATATTGAATCAATCATTATAGGCAAAGCAATGATCTCACAACAATTGATACTAATAATTATATAAGTCAATAATAGTGTAAAAGTTTTATTGCAAATATTATTTTCTGTTTCGAAATTATTATTCTATCTAAGAGCATCTACAACAATGACATAATTGTTATATAATGTTAGGATAGAATTTTATCCCATTGTTGGAGGGAGTTTAATTTTGTCAGGGATATAAAATATTTGACACGGTGAATCTGACAAAAAGCTGGTGCAATGGGTGGGGCCATCACATGCCCAGCCCCCAATTCCATTTTTTTTCCTTTTTTTCATTGTTATTTATTCCTTTTTTTTTGTAGTGACCGCTACTTGCCTTTTTTTTTTCTTTTTCTTTTATCATTTTGACAATGGATCAATAATTTTTATCTCATACTATACAGTAATAATTAGTCTTTTTTTATTTTCTTATATGATGTTTAGTCAATGAAAATTAATGTTTTATTATTCATAAATGTTTTCGTATATTATTTTAATAATGATTTTTACATATATTTTTTAAATAATAAAATTTTATATAAATATAATTATTTTAAAAAATAATAAAGTATTAATAGTGAAATAGTTGTAGGGTAATAATAGTTGAGTAGTTGTGGGTCCCAAATTATATGAATAAGGAGTGTAAAATTGTTGGAGAAAAAAGTATAAAAAGTGATAATGTAGTGGAATGTTGACGTGTCAATGATGTATTGTATAATGTTATATGGGTTATTGTGGTTGCCCTTAACATGAGACTAGTACCGAACAACAATCGCTAGAAGACAGAGTATTGATTAGTTAGCATGGACTTGAGTTGAATAGCTTTTCTGATGTGTTTTTTGGGGGTTAAAAAGAAATATTGAGAAATAAAGATACTAATAATAATTAAAAGAAAATATATAGCGAAGGGGAAGGCAAGCTCCCAAGTCCCAAAAACCAGAAACAAACAGAAAATTCTTTCATACCCAAGAACAAACGCGTTTAGCAACCTAGCTGTGATCTCAGAATCTTAATTAAGGTTAGATTATTTGGGATTGTACATACGCAAGTTGTCCAATTAAAAATCATAAAAATGAAGCTTAGAAGTTTAAGATCATGATGAAACTCACATGCTCTTTACTACCCTCCATTCTTCTGCAATTTGCCAAATTTCCCAGAACCATCCGAGCCGCCATTATAATCACAAGGCATCTAACTGCTGTCCAAACAGCCCGTCCTCATGCCCCAGAATTTCGAGGCTTCGCCGTTGAACTGGACGGCGGAGATTTGGCCTGCAGGTCAAGTGTATTATCGGATGCACTTCAAGTGTTTGATGAAATGCCTCACTGCGATGTTGTATCCGCTACTTCTCTGATTGGCCAGTTGGCTAAACAGAACTACCATAAGGAAGCTGCGCTTCTCTTCTCGAGAATGGTGGAGCGGAATATTAGACCCAATGACTTCACTTTTGGCACGGTGATTCACTCGTCTGTTGTTCTGAAAGACCTTGCTCTGGGCAAGCAATTTCACGCGTCTGCAGTGAAAATGGGGCTGTACTCGAACGTGTTTGTGGGTGGTGCGCTTGTTGATCTTTATGTAAAATTAAGAAACATTGAGGAGGCCCAGAAGGTTTTTAAGGATAATGATCAGACAAATGTTTTTAGTTGCACAGCTTTGATCAATGGGTACCTTAAAGAAGAGAGGTTCGATGAAGCTATGTCGCTGTTCAACAAAATGCCCAAGAGAAATGTGGTTTCTTGGAATGCCATGATCAGTGGGTGCGGCCAGACGGGGAAAAATGAAGAAGCCGTTGGTCTTTTTGCCCTGATGTTGAGAGAAGGATATGTGCCTAGTGATGCAACTTTTCCTTGTGCTATCATAGCAGCTGCAAATGTAGCTGCACTTGGGATAGGGAGAAGCATACATGCTTGTGCTGTGAAGTTCTTGGGAAGGGTTAGTATATTCGTTGGTAATTCACTGATTAGCTTTTATGCTAAATGTGGGTGTATGGAGGACAGTCTTCTAGCCTTCCGTAAACTTCCACAAAAGAATGTTGTCTCTTGGAATGCTGTGGTATGTGGTCTTGCGCAAAACGGAATGGCTAATGAAGCTCTAGATATGTTTCAGAAAATGAAATCAAATGGTTTTCCACCCAATGGTGTTACCCTTCTTGGTTTGCTTCTGGCGTGTAATCACGTTGGGCTTGTTGATGAAGGTTATTCGTATTTCAATCAGGTTAGACTTGAGGAACCCAGCATGATCAAGGCAGAGCATTATGCTTGCATTGTAGGTCTATTCTCACGGTCTGGACGGTTCCAAGAAGCTGTTAATTTTATGGCTGATTTGCCTTTCGACCCAGGCATTGGATTTTGGAAGGCTATCCTGGGAGGATGCCACGTTCATTCAAATGTAGAACTGGGATCGTATGCAGCTGAAAAGATAAGAGCACTGGAACCTGGTGATGTTGCATCATTTGTTATGCTTTCAAATGCATACTCAGCTTCAGGAAGATGGCATAGTGTGTCTGCGCTAAGGGATGAAATGATGGAGAAAGGCATGAGTAGGGTACCAGGCTGCAGTTGGATTGAAATAAAAAACCAGATTCATGTATTCGTCAGTGGAGATAAGAGACACTCCGAAAGAATTGAGATAATCACAGCCTTGAGATTTTTACTTAAGCAGATGATAGGAATTCACGACATGGAATTGATTACATAGATTACCCAAATTGATTGATTACATAGCATCGATCACTCATCCTTCTACAGAAACACAATAAAGGTACTGATAAAATATAGAGCTGAAAATGAACATAGCTGAAGCTTAGAATTACTGAAATTAGGAATTAAAAGGCAGACTCCTTTGTTTCAGTACTAACTCAGATGTAAAATATTTCCAAGTTTGGAAGAAAAACCAAGCGTAAACGATACAGAGAAATTCAAAATTTGCTTATTAGATTATCCCTATTTTGTTGGCCACATCCAGCGCATCATAGTCAGGCGTCAACCGCACATAAGCCTTTTTGGTTCCGTCAGGCCTGAGATGAAAAAACAAGAACCGATGAAAACAGATGCAACCACATTAATATGCAATATTATCTGCCGAAACCAGACGGTCAGTTGCCTCATGTTGAATAAATAGAAACAAAAAAGGGAGCAGGACACGAATTTGATTCCTAACCATTCATCTGTGCACAGATATATCTTCGCGCTTCTTGTTTGTAGTACAAATAAAGTGACCAATAATCTCAAATGCCTTTGACACCTATCCCTCTTAATTAAATAAAATGAACGTGAAAGTGTCTCCATAGAAGACCTTAACAATGACATAAGTTTCTAGTCGAAAGTGCAAGCAAACAGATTAGTTGGTACACTGTCACAGTTATCAATGGAGCTACAACTACTAAAACTTGAGGACGGTGAATAATGACATTTTCAACTACATATACTTCAGCATTATTCACATCGTAGTACAATAAACTATCTCATCCTAAACTAGCAAAAATCCAATTTTTTTACTGTGCTGAATTTTGTTTTTCCATGCTTGCACTCCAGGGGAAGGGGAACAAGTCCAATCGAAAATGAATATCTTGGCAATCAAACATGTAAAAAATGAAATAAAATAACCTTACCTGATCAAAGTATTAACTTTCTTGGTCTGGATATCATACATTTGCTTGACAGCATCCTTGATCTTCCTTTTATTAGCACGAATGTCCACAATGAAAACAAGGGTGTTGTTGTCTTCAATTTTCTTCATTGCAGACTCGGTAGTGAGAGGATACTTGAGAATCTGATATTGATCAAGTTTGTTCCTGGGCGGAGCACTGATTCTAGGATATTTCGGGTTCCTATCCTTCTTCAATGTCTTCGGCCTATGAAAGGTAACTTTAGTCCTGATTTTCTTGCCCTTCTTCTTAAATGTGGCGGAACCAGACTTGATAGCCTTGGCAGTCTTCTCAGCCTGGGACTTCGGGTCCCGTTTTTTTGTTGAATCAACTACATTGCAACAGAAATAAATGAATTTCTTCGTCATCAACAGATTAAAAAGAGCTTTCCAGTGGTACTTGCTAAACCACTCAAAGAAATTTTTCTCGAACATGATCCTCTCAATACCTTGATTATAATTAGAATCATTCTTTAGGAATCTCTAACTCAAACCCGGTGGAACAATCAACAATTAACCTTCATTTCCCCAGGGTTCGATGCAAACTTAAGCACAGATAACTAATTACAATTCCTAAGTACAAGTATTTCTCGCAATGTATCTGAAATTTTTAACAAGCTATTGTAGTATAACCAGTTGATAACTACTGTAAAACTATTGATTCGATTCTTGAAGAGTACCTTTAGCTGGAGACATTTTCGACTGGGCAACCTCGCCTTAATCCCGATGAGCTTTCAGTGTTTACCTGCGAAAATAAGACCAGAAGATGATAAAACAGTTAGCACATAATACGCCAATAGGCCCAAAATTCATTTTTTCGTAATGAAGAAAAGGGAGAAGAGGGTGGTTGACTTGGAGGCGCAGAAGAGACCGGGAATACAACCTGTCGGGCAGCTCTGCCGTTTAGGGTTCGGGACTTCAAGTCATGAAGATGATGAGGGCTTTTATACTGTGTTTTTAACTCTTTCCAGTGCACGAGCTCGTCACGTGGAGACTATTGCATATTAGCCTTGGAATTACCAATTCTATACAAATGGCTCCTGAAGAATCAAATATTGTACTGTCGGTCGGGTGAATTCAATAATAGACGCCTACAAAGTACAATTATTTACTCGATCCTCAAATGTGTTTCATTTAGATGTCCAGATTTGTTGGTGGTTAACATTTCTAAATCTTGACACAGACAGAAATTATCGACCAATTCACTGTCCTTGTCTTTTTGGAGCTGTACAAAATCCAATCATAAAATAATGAATCATAACAACCCCACGATGAATAACATGCTCATAATTTTATGAATAGCGTGGTTTTAGGAAGACAACTTCAAATAAAAAATACATACAAAATATATATTACATTTGACATGATAAGCCAACAACATCAATAGGATTTTATATATACACAATTTACTGATTCAATTCATTAGTTTGTTCCCATAATTGATCTATTAATACATCTCTCAATTTAAAATGAGTATCTATGTCCCTAATTTTTCTATAACGGGTAATAAATTGTTGGAAACGTTTATCCTCATTCGATACTCTTTCTACTTCCGATTGTGATGTTTCTTGTCCAACTGCCATTAGTCCATTGAGATCATTTTCGTCATCCACAATCATTTTTGTATGGTAATACAACTTATCGTGATATCATGCCACATTTCATTTTTCCAAATACGAGCTGGTCATTTTATAATTTTAGACCTTGATCGTAAAATCCCAAAAGTAGGTTCCACATCTAGTCTAAAAGCCTCATGCTTGGTTTTTTAATATTTGTGCTTTTAGAGTTTAGGATTTTGGATTGATTGTACTATCGTGGCCCATTTCGGACAAATACCATCTGCTAAATAATATCACATACTATATTCTTCTCCTTTAATAACACAACTCGCCCTAGGTGCAAGACCTCGAGTGAGGTTATAAAAAAAAATGTGATTATTCTTAAACATTAATATCATCATTTGTACATGACGTACCAAAATAAGGGTGCTATATCCACATGTTATAGTCAGTTATAGTCTTGAGAATAGTTGTTGGTGAACCAGAACGTCCTGTATATTACCCGGTCCAGTCCAAAAGGTAAGATAATTTTTCACTTCCAATGCATGCAATATAAACTTCCCAACTTGCTGGAAAAACCACATTATTCATCAATATAAAGGTAAAAAAAGATAACACTTTTTGCTTGCATGATAAAAAAAAGACAAAAGTAACGAGGTTTTTTTTTCAGAGTATAAAGTATAAAGATTGAGTTATCCAATTAAGGATAAAAAAAAATTCAAATAAACGGTTCATATAGCAATGTAATCTATCCAAGGTTGCAGATGAAGATAAATGAATAATACATTGTCTTAATTTACTATCTTAATTTTTTTTTCTTGTTGAATATAGCATTGGTGGATACTGGGGACCCGCAGGGGTTGGCCAACTCTCTCCCCCCCGCAAGTTTTAATATAGAGAGTGCTTGATTTTGTAGTATAAAATTTCAAATGCTTGTTGAGAAATTTATCATTTTGCCCTTATAATTTATACTTTTAAGTTCCACCACTGATACAAAGCAAACAATTGAACTACCTAAGTCTTTTTTCATGAATCAATATTTTATCTCTTTTGGCAAAAAATTTTTTTTAAAAAAAGTCTTTTAATGAACAAAGTCTTCCAATCTACAAGATACACTATCGTTGAAGACATATCCCTTGTTGAGACTTACATTCATGTCACACAAAATACAATTATTGGAAAATATCAATGGCACGGTGGTTTTTACAAAAGAGTATTGGATAAATATAATCAAGAAGCAAATTCTAAAAAAGTGAATTTAACGCCATGAAAGATTTTTGCTGCAATGATGACAAAAATTAGAAAATGCCGTTAAGAAATTACGTGGATGTATAACCAAAATGGAGAGTATGCATCACAGCGGTACAAATGCAAAAGATTATGTTAAGTTGTTGATATTTTTAATTGTGTTTTATTTTATAATTTACTAGGATTTTCTTGCCCGCGCATGAGCGCGGGCGATGATTTATATTCCCTCCGTTTCAGAAATATAGTCGATATAGCATTTTAAGATTTGTACTAAAAATAGTACAAATTTGAAAATTTAATGTGGACGATTTTTTTGGGGATAGAGAAAATAATAAAACAATTATACAAGAATATTATTGTTAATTTGGTTAACATTTACAAAAAATCAAAGTAATTATTTTTGCTAAATGAAATATAAAATGTCTTTGCATGCCAAGTGAAATTTTTTGAATATAATTAAGAAAAATGCAAATAGGTTTTGTAGCAATAACACAAAAGTTTAATCTACTTATAAATTTTGATAAACACTGTAACAATGAATGAGGGTTAGGTATTCAAGTACTTGCGAAGTTGGTTAAAGAAACATTTTGTACCAAAAAGAAAAATTATGAATTTATATAAACGGAAGGGTTAAGTTGTTTCATAATTACTTTGCGGTGCTTTCTTTGTTTTTTTTTTTTTTTTTTTTTGAAGTATTACAAAATAGCTTTCATGTTAACCTAGCAAATAAAATGAATCATTTTGAGATATATCCCTTTTTACCCTATTAAAGCAGAAAACAGGATGCTGATGTGGCAATTTTTTATTAAAATATTTTGGCTCCAAATGCACCATATTGCATAAATCATTCTGCCACGTGTCACATCCTTTTAAAAATAAAAAATATATTTACAATATTAACAAAGAGATCAGATGGCCATGTTCATTCAAATTTTGAATTTGACAGTATATGGATTTTCCTTCTCCATTTATTTAGGACTTTTGAAAAAAATTTCGATCAATCAATTATTTTCATCAAAAACTAAATTCATTCATAATCAGTTTTGATCATTTACATATCAATTTATTAGGTGGGACGCCTCCGGGCATTTGCTCGGGACAAGCATCTAGTTTAAATATATTGGGCTTCAGATAACAATAAAGTCAATAGACTCAATAATAGTAAATCAATAAAACTTGGAAGGATGTGGAAGGTAGAAACTTGAAAGTGATGACAAAACTCTTAAAAAATCTTTATTTTGTTTATTAAAAATTGTGATTTTTCCAAAAATACCCCTAGGTGGTGCAACGGTGAAAACTACTGTTCATTTTGGGGCTCTTGCTTTATATTAGTAATAGATTTTTTATACATAAATTAACAATTGTATAAATATTACTTTCAGATGGATCGTAAAAAAATTACTTGTACTTGAGAAATGATTTGAAAAAGGATTCAAATGCGATTACGTCTTGACTTTGTTCAAAGATTTTACAAAACATAATGATAGTGTCATGCAAGCACGACAAATGTTCAATCAAACCTTCAATTTTGTATCGTCTGAATTTGATAATCCAACACCTGAATCTCATATACTTGAATCTCACATCCTGTTTGACTTATTGTTATAAGCCCTTGTACTTTTAAATTTATTTATAAGCTCTTGTACTTATTGTTATTGTTAATGTCCATGAATTTTATAAATTTTAATGAAATTTTTTATTTAATTCAATTTTATTATTCAAGAGCTCCTATTATTATTTAATTATTAGGAGTAATTAACAAATAATGTGCAACTGGAACAAAAAACAAAGATATTTGTAATAAAATAGCATTAAAGTAAATTAAATAGAAATACATCATTACTACAACAACCAAATTACCGAAGAGTAAAACAACATTCAACAAACCAAACATACAAAAGCACACTTATTAAGAGATTAAATAAAATACTGAATTATTAAACACAAATAAACTACGGAAAATTATCCCCAAGATTAGCAACATCTCCACCAATATTGTTCAATAGATCGCTAAAAGTGAGATTTGGTGGTTGTGGTGGTTGCTTTTGTGCCAATTGTTGAAGAATTCGTCGTTTTTTAGCAATAATTAATTCGCGATAAACATGATCTGCAATATTGGTCACATCTTCCGCTATAATTTTATTTTCTTTCCTGCACTGCTTCAAAGCCAACTTTTACTTCTGTAGTGCTATTATCTCTTTTTAGTCTTCACTTGACTTTTTTTAAATATCAAGAAGCAGTTGACTCTATTGCCTAAATATTTTCGCCTCACAAGCAGATTGTTCATCCATTTTGCTCTTATTCTTGGCTTTTTTTAATACCAATATGTCTTTTGGAAGAAGATCCACTAGTATCACTTTCAACCATCATTTGAGAATCAAAATTTAGATAAGTTGGAAGATTCAAGTACATGTGATTCAAGTGTTCGATTACCGGATTCAGATGATACAAAGTTGGAGGTTTGATTGAAAATGTGTCGTGCTGTCGTGACGTCATCATTATATTTTCCAAAATTTTTGAGCAAATTCCAGATGTGGTCGTATTTGAACCCTCCTTTAATCCTCTCTCAAGTGCAAATAACTTTTTTCCTTGATCCAACTGAAAGTAATATTAATTATTAAACCATTGCTTAAAAAATGTATAAAATTTATAATAGAAAACACAATTGAAAATTGTAATTACTTACATAATCTTCTATATTTGCACCACTAGGATGCATGTTCTCCACTTGTTTATATGTTGCGCATAATTTCTTGACTTGTTTCTCTATTTTTTTGCAATCGTTACAGCAAATATTTTTTATTGCGTTCAGTCCACCCTTTGGAAATTGCTTCTTTATTTTATTCTTCCAATATTTATCTCCAAAATTCATCACTTGGTTGATACCTTCCATTAATTGGATTTTGCAAAACATAGACATAAGTTTCAGTGATGGCAATATCTTCGGCAATGGTGTATCCTACAAATCGGCATACTTTTTTTCATTAACAGACAAATATTTTTTTTGATACTAATGGAGGTAAAATATTGATTCAAGAAGAAGAAACTGAACGTGAGGTGTAATATTTGTTATAGCTAAACCCCTACTTATAAAAATTTTATAAGCCCGTTTTAGTAAAAAAGTGAAAATGAGGCATAATATCCGTTATCTTCATCTACACCCTCCGATAGATTGCATTAACAATCTAACCGTTCATTGGATTTTTCTTTCATCTCTAGTGGATAAATAATTATTTTTCTTCTTCTTTTTTTTCTTTCACATATAATCAATAAAGTGTTGCCCTATAATTCTGATTCTTTTTGCTTTTGTGTACAGATGACACCAACTTTTCTTTTCTG